AAGGATACAAAGGGTCTTTGGTGTACTATTTACCGAAGATCGGACGAAAATATATATGGGAGCTATATCTAAATCGGAACCGATTTCCACGAAATTTAACACACATCGTTTACGCTGTGCTAACTTTCGTGCAAATCGAAGGATGTATAGGAACGTTGATGCATCATTTACATAAAATTGGACGAACATATATATGGGAGCTATATCGAAATTTCGACCGATTTTCCCGAAACTCACCACTCATCATTCTAGCCTCAATTTAATACGCTGAGCCACATTTTGTGCAAATCGAAGCATATAAAGGGAATTTGGTGCACTATTTACCTAAATAGGACGAAAATATATATGAGAGCTATATCCAAATCTGAACCGATTTTCACGAAACTTAACACACATTATTTTAGACCTAATTCATTACGCTGTACCAAATTTCGTGCAAATCGAAAGATATATAGGGACCGTTTACATTAAATCGGGCGAAAATATATATGGGAGCTATATCTAAATCTGAACCGATTTTTCCCAATTTCAATAGGGTTCGTCCTTGGGCCAAATAAGTGACCTATGCCAAATTTCATCCAATTCGGATTATAAATGCGACCTGTACCGTGTTTACAATTTAACATCGACAGACAGACGGACGGACATGCATAAATCGACTCAGAAAGTGATTCTATGCATATTCTCAAACGGAACCATGTGTCTATCTCGATTATTTTTGCCTGTTACAAACATATGCACAAAGACATAATACCCTGTACCACAGAGTGGTGAAGGGTATACAAATCGGACGAATGTATATATAGGAGCTATATATAAATCTGAACCGATTTTATGAAAACTTGACACACGCATTGTTCAAAATTGTGTGTCAATCGGCCAAACTTGGGTTTTTAGTGCACAATTTACATTAAATCAGACGAAAATATACATGGGAGCTATATCTAAATCTGAACCGATCTTCACGAAACTTAGCACACATCATTATAGACTCAATTCAGTACGCTACGGCAAATTTCGAGGAAATCGAAAGATATATAGGGACTTTGGTGGACCATTTAAATTGAACGAAAATATATATGGGAGCTATATCTAGATCTGAACTCAATAGGGTTCAGATCTAGTGTAAAAAAAATTTATGTGGGGGATATGTCAGAACAGCTATTGTATTCAATATTTTCTACCATGAAGTCTATTATCCTCTGTGAAGTGTAAAAAATCTAGTTCGTTGGTTTCAAAATGCGGCTTGGGATTTTACCTGAAATTATAGCCACTTTTATATTACAATAAATCTGATCATAAATATTAATAAGATTAGAACCTTACGAGCTGCATCTGATCATTTCTGGTTAAATATAATGTCTCCAAAAAAAGAATCTCAAAAGTAAAAAACTTTAAGTTGCGGGACGAGCTTTTTATATTCCGTTATAGGTTGCCCATAAGCGTGGATTTTTAATATTTTCTAAGGGACACTATCCATATAAACCTCCATGGGAATGAGGCGCTATAACAGAAGTCCCCTAATGGTATTTTTGGATATATAAAATCTTGTCTTTTCTACATAGAACTTTGCCTGCAGAGGTTCTACATATTGGCATTCTATAATATACCTTCTATGAGTATGTAAGAAGACTTTCTGTATTTCTTCCATATACTGAAAGAATATTGTCTTCAGGGGTGGAGTGCATACTAAATTTGGAATTTCACTTGCAGAATTAAATTCTACGTCGATTTAGTCATATTCACCTACCTGTATGAGGAAATCATGATAGGGGTCGTACCACTACACCTCTTAGGAGGTAAATATTCAATATATTTCCGAACTTCCTAGGGTCGTTTTCTCATATATATAGATGCTACCTCCATATATTGGTCTCACCCATTGGTTGGTTGTTGCCGACGGATATATACCCTCAGCCTAGTGTCTGCTGAGGTCTACGGAAGTCTACTTAAAACATCGGTTTTATTAGTTGATTTATATAAGGGTTTACCATCTTTGGAGAGGTACCAGAAGATGTTGGTCTATAGACCCCATTTTTAATATACGTTTGGATAAATATTACGATTTGCAAATCAGATATTCTTTTATCTTATATTGGTTGATACTTTGTGGGGGAAGGTACCAGGAGGAGTGGAATAATGGGTCATATCTTCACGTTTCATATATAGAGGATACATATATCATGTGCAAAGTTTGGATGAAAATAGATATTTGGTTCCTATTTGGTTCATACGAAATGAAAATGTGAACAGAAATGGCACTTTGTACACACAAAACAACACATGCTACTCGCCTACGCCGGCGACATCGACATAATCGGTCGAACACTGAGAGCGGTAACAGCCATTTTTAAACAAATTGAGAAGGAATCTGCCAAAGTGGGTGTGACAATAAACGGCGAGAAGACCAAGCTGATGATATCAATCCCCAAAACGTTCAGTAAACTCGGACCTACTCAGGAACTTGAGAAATACAGCTTCGAGGTAGTCACATATTTTATATACCTTGGTACCGCCATAAATAAAAGTAATGACATCAGTTTTGAAATTCGCAGAAGAATAGTGTTGGCTAACAGATGCTATATGGTCTAAGTAAGCAGTTTAGAAACAAGGCCACCTCCCGCCTGACCAAACTCACACTCTACAAGATGCTGAAGCATGGGTACACACGCAAGCAGATGAAGCAGATCTTAAAGTGTTTGACAGAAAAATTCTCCGAAAGATCTATCTGTGTTGACGGTGAATATCGCCGTCGAATGGACCATGAGTTGTACCAGCTATTCTCAGTCATCGGCATTGTTAGACGTTTCGAGCTGCAGTGACTACGTTGGCTAGGTCATGTTGTGAGAATCGAGGAAGATGCACCAGCTCAAAAGGCATATAAAAGCAAACCTGCTGATGGCTCAAGCAGAAGGGAAAGCTACGAAGTAGATGGAACCTTATGTTGCCTTCCCCGTAAAGGGTCAAAATTTTCAATATTTATGCAAATCGATATAAGGAATGAAATGAAATATCCGATTTCAATCAAGTTCGAAGATGGGACCAGTCGGTTCTCTTCTTCTTATATCTCCCCCACAAAGGGTAAGAAATGTAAATATTTATAAATTCAATATCAGGCGTATGGACCAACCTACTGTCATATAATTAAATAACATAATCCCCATATAAAAGCGACGATCAGAGGAATTTTGAAAACAAACAACTCAGCTTTCAAAGGGAGGTTAGTAAATTGCCATTCCGTGTTTTTGGAGCGTGAAAAGCAGCAGATAATTTTTGATGTAAATCCATGATTTTACATTGCCTTCATAAAAAGAAGGGTACCGACATATTTCAGGTATTTTGACGACCACATATAGACCTCTTATAGGTTCTTGATTAATCTATTGACACGCGGCACTGGAATTCAGTTCAATCGAAAAGTCCTTCGCATTGCTACTCTTGCTAGTTATTCGATAATTATACCCTACACAACTATGTTGTCAGGGTATTATAGCTTTGTGTAGCCCCAAAAGTTTGTAACGCCGCGAAATATTGGTCCTAGACCCACCATTAAGTATACCGATCGTCATATCCCGATCTAGACATGTGTGTCCGTCCGTCAGTCCATTATAATTTGTAAACACGATACAGGCCACAGTTATGGACCAATCTTCACAAAATTTTGCATGTAGGATGGATTCTGGTCAATGAAGACCCCTATTGTTTTTGATAAAGATCGGTTAATATTTAGCTGATGAAATGGACCAAATACTAAATTTTTGTCGGTTTTTCGGGCCGCTCCAGAGACCGCAGTTATGGTCCGAACATCGTGAAATTTTACATGGAGAAGGGGATCGGGCCTAAGAATAAGCATGCCTGTTTTGATAAAGATCGGTCAATATTTAGCGGGTCAAATGTACCCTGACTTTTGTGTGAAAAATTACACAATTTTAATTCTGGGACGTATATACTTGCTCCTGAAGGTCATATACTCGATATGTTGATAGTATGTCCTGACCTTCAAATTGATACCAATTATATGGCTATATGTACTCCGATGCGGGAGTTATACGTAATTAAGTAAAGGTGACTATGTGCATATTATTACCATTAGAGGACGGAAATGTCGCGCTGATCGCTTTGAAATCGTACATGAAGTTCCGATTATGGTCAAGGACTACGCTTATAGTTTTCGGTGAAGTTGAGATTTCATTCAGGGGGTGCAATGAACCGAAAACTTTAATTTTGTCCGATTTTCTAGTCGCTCTAGAGGCAATTATTATATACAAGGTGAAGGGGATCTGACCAGGTACTTAGAGCGGCTGTTTAGATGATGATCCGTCAATTTTCCGAGGGTCAAATCAACCAAAATCTAAAGTGACCAATTTTTTAAATTAAAAGGGTAAAAAGGGTGCAAATACCACGAAATATTGCCCAGGCTCAGAATATAAAACCGCCGAAAGTGTGCTTTTCGTGGTAGTTGTGTAGGTTATCATATGGTCGGCCCGTCCGACAATATTACTCCGCTCACTGGTTTCCAATAATTTTGAGGTTCCTCTTAATCTAGAGCAATTTGCTTATCAATTATCGTTCTCCCGTCTTAATTGATGAACCATCTGCAGAAGTTACGCCCTTCAGACCTATCTACTGATAGGAGTACTTCCGTAGAAGACCTAGGTGCTCTTCAATAGTAGATCTATCTGTTGACAGATCAATTTTAAGATACTGGTGTTCGGTGTAGTATATTAGTAATTCTACCCTGCCCTCCGGTATATTTTTTCCACTTATGTGTGTGTATATCTCTCTAGTGTTATTTTCCTGTCATTCACTTTTCCACTACTACTACTAATAACTTTACTACTTTGAGAACTGGTGCAACTTGAAAATTAAAGTGGAAAAGTTTACCTCTAACACAACCCCATTCCCCTTTTCGACTGGCATGGGGTTAAGACATATCGTAACTATAGTCATTACATGGCTACGATGGCTCTTGAACAAAAACAAAAAACAATAGAGAATACATACCTGGCTACCAGCGACAATGATACCGGAAACACTTTCATTTTACGACCACCCACCAAATAATCCAAAGCCTCTGAACCGCGTCGCTGTTCCGTACCCTTTTGTCCCTTTCCCTTTTTCTGTTTCTTTTCGATGAAGCCGAAATAGAAACCAATGGCGGCACAAATAATTAACATCAAAACGAAAACGCAATAGTCCACGATGCCAAAGTGTTGCAGGGAGGTGCTCAGATCGGCAACACTTTGTTTGGTGGGATCAATGGCGGCAAGGGAGGCCGATGATGATGGAAATCCTGTTGTTGAGGTGCTTGTGGTGGGGGTGGTCATACTGCTTGTTGATGTAGCTGTTGTTGTTGTTGTTGTTGCTGTCGGTGTTGTAATTAAAGTTTTCACCGTTTCCTTGATGCTGGTCATCGTTGTGCCCACGATATTTACTAGCTTTTCCTGAGGACCAACTGTCGGTGCGGTGGTTTCTAGCTGTGAGCTGGCCATTATGTTGGCTTGGGTAGTGGTTATGATTTGACCACCTGCTGTTACTGCTGGTTCACTTGACATTTTCTGCCAAGGGAGGAGGGAGAGGAAGTTCGTTTGTGTGTCTGTAGCCAGACGATAACTTCCTTTGATTCGCACTTAATTAAGTTTAGCTGTTAATTTTTGTTGTTGTTGCTGCTGCTGCTGCCGTTCAGCTTTGCATTCCCTTTATTTGCGAACTTGGGTTCAGCTTTAAGACACTACTCGAGATGAATGCTTGGTACTTTATCTCAATTTGCAATTTGTGGTCTGTGTGAGGGAGTGTGTGTGTGTGTTCGTGTGCGACTATGTCTGTATTTGCATTAGTGTGGGTGTTTTCTTCTGCTCCTTTGTGTATTTCACGAGAGAATCGATTCACTTTACATTTGTTATTGATTTTAATGGAAAATTTATTTTTGTTTTCTTGCACTTCACTTCTGCTGCTTCGTTGCCGTCTTCGTTTTCGCCTCGCTTCACCGTGTCTTTGTGTGTCACTTTGAATTAATTTAATTTTGTTTGCATTTCGCTACTGTAAATGAAATAAAAGTTTTCCAATGATTGGTGGTGTTCTTGTTGTTGTTGTTTTTTATTCAGCTGTCATCGAACTTTGGTTATGAAACACCCCACATCATGAGCTACGAAGCACCCACCAAACCCGACCCTCCCAGTGCATCAAACTTTTGTAACTGTATAAATTTTTGTTTTGGATGTTAAGGAGAAAATCCGAATAATTTTTTTTTTCGATGTTCGGAATAAAATTTTGTTAATGATTTCAGATTACAAGTTATCTCTTGTGGTGGTTGTCGTTGTTCTTAATCTGACCAAAAAAAAAAAGAATTGACAGCTTTGGCCGTAAGCATGGACAACATTTCAATATTGACACTGTCTCCTCGACAGAACGACAAGACAAATACGAACAATTAGCACAAGACAAAAAAATTACAGAACTTGATTTTTTTTTCTTTTTTTCTAAGGAAAATCTGTGTTTTCTTGTTTTTGTTGCATTATCTGCAGCTTAATGGCTGACCGACAACCAAATTATCAAATTAATGAGAGAACGTGTCCAGACTTTTGAAAAAAAATCAGTGCAAGCAAATGGATTGGATTTGACAGAGATAAGCTATGTAACACAGATTCGTTGAACTTGACACAATTCGTAATTGGAGTGCAAAAAAAAATAAAATTGAAAGTGGAGCAGGGGGAAATATTTCGAAAGGTAGCATTAAATGAAATCTAATAAAAGGAATAGCAGGTCACTTGAAATTTGTTGCTGCGTAACAAAAAACCAAGTAAAAATTTTGCCTGACCGAACTTTGTGTATCCTTCACCACAATATGGGCATTCAAAATACCTATAATTGAAAATTAAGGAATCAATAGAAACCAGTAAGGATAGTAGTAAAGTCGGACGGGGCCGACTATAAAATACCCTTCACCACTTAGGGTATATTCAACAGATGGGATCCTAACAGACGTCGCATTTTTGAAGGACCATTAACATGAAATTAAACATGTCATTCTGCAACCTTACTTATCTTTGGTCAGATATAGGGTTGCTTCTTACAATGGGATCATGTAAATAAATTTGAAGCAAAATATCGAAATCTATACCGATTTCATCGAAACTTGTCACATGCTATGTTACACTTATTTCAGTATGTTTTGTGCATTTGGCTACATTTTGAGTTCTTCATTTACTTATGAATCCACATTTCGTGCAAATCGAAAGATATATAGGGACTTTGGTGCACCATTTACATAAAATCGGACGATAATATATATGGGAGCTATATCTAAATCTGAACTGATTTTCACGAAATTTAATACACATCTTTCTAGCCTTAATTCAGTACGCTATGCCAAATTTCGTGCAAATCGAAAGATATATAGGGACTTTGGTGCACCATTTACATAAAAATCGGACGAAAATATATATGGGAGCTATATCTAAATCTGAACCGATTTTTACGAAATTTAACACACATCATTCTAGACTGAATTTAGTACGCAGTGCCAAATTTCGTGCAAATCAAAGTATGTTTAGGGACTTTGGTGCACCAGTTACCTAAAATCGGACGAAAATTTATATGGGAGCTATATCTAAATCTGAACCGATTTTTCCCAATTTCAATAGGGTTCGTCCATGGGCCAAACAAATGAGCTGTGACAAATTTCATCCATTTCGAATCAAAAATGGGACCTGTACTTTGTTTACAATTTTACATGGACAAACAGACGGACATGCATAAATCGACACAGAAAATGATTCTATGCATATTCTCAAAAGGAACCATGTGTCTATCTCGTTTCGTTTTGCCTGTTACAAACATATGCACAAAGACATAATACCCTGTACCACAGTGTGGTGAAGGGTATACAAATTCTGAAAGCGTTAAGAAGCGGGATTTTCGTCCGGAAAGAATTCTGTGTACCCTTCGCTAAGAGGATGAGGGAATTCCAAATACCTATACTCGGTCGAAATCCTCTGTAGTTTTGGATATGTCAAAACATGGACAAATAATCATTATTTTGTTCTATGAAAACGAGGTAGCAAATTGCGTACAGGGAAGTAATAGGTGTGAAATTCAATCTGAGGACGGAACATATACTTTGATGTTATGGAAAAAAACCGATCAAGAATTCGAATTGATATTGCCAAATTACAGTCACTTCGGTTGAAAAATGGGATGAGAGGTTTATATAGGATGCCACAAATCGTGGACCCATATTAAACATTTCCTGTCTTCTAAAATCCAAGAATACGGAATTCCAAATTACTATCTATCCGGTTAGACTAAAATCTTGACATAAACATAGACTTTTGTTGAAAAATTTATGCAAAGAAGTTTTTTCATCCAAAGAATCCATAATGCGGCGGATCTTTTTGTGGGGATTATATCTAAAGATACCCTGTACCACACTGTGGTACAGGGTATTATGTCTTTGTGCAAGCAACAGCTCTGATTGGCTTTAACATGGCGAAGCCCAGGCTTATCTTGGTCCCTCTTTCATCTCAAATGTGGACACTGGCATCCCATTAAAATTCTGCGAGGAGATTTTAATGCAAAAATCGGAAGGGAAAATATCTTTGGCCCCACCGTCGGAAAATTCAGCCTCCATGAAGAAACATCAGACAACGGCATGAGGTTGCGTGAACAACTAAAGCCAATGTTCAATGGCATTATTGGATTTTCACTCTACTCCAAATCCTGGAAAAGACCCACGAAAAACATATCGACACATTCCACCTATTCGTCCACTATAAAGCCGCATTCGACAGCCCTATCCGCTCAGAGGTGTATAAAGCCATGTCTGCGTTTGGTATTCCTACAAAATTAATTCGGCTATGCAGGATAACTTTAACTGACACAAGATCTGCAGTTAAAGATCGTTCGGTATTAAAGGAGCCCTTTAATATCGAACGAGGATTCAGACAAGGTGACAGTTTGTCGTGCGATCTATTTAACATCCTGTTGGAAAAGGTCATACGAGACGCAAAGGTGAACAGAAATGGCACTATGTACACCAAACAACATCAGTTACTCGCCTACGCCGATGACATCGATATAATGGGTCGAACATTGCGAGCGGTAACAGCCACCTTTGGACAAATTGAGAAGGAGTCTGCCAAAGTGGGTCTGACAGTAAACGGCGAGAAGACCAAGCTGATGGTATCAACGCGCAAGACGTCGAGTAGACTCGGACCAACTATGGAACTTGAGAACTACAGCTTCGAGGTAGTCAAAGATTTTATATACCTTGGTACCGCCGTAAATAAAACTAATGAGATCAGTTTTGAAATTCGGAGAAGGATAGTGTTGGCCAACAGTGCTACTATGGTCTGAGCAAGGAACAAGACCAAACCCACACTCTACAAGGCGCTGATACTACCCGTGCTGTTATATGGGTCTGAAGCATGGGTACAAGCAGGTGAGGCAGCTCTTGGAGTGTTTGAGAGAAAAATTATCCGAAAGATCTATGTGTTGATCTGTGTTGACGGTGAATATCGCCGTCGAGTGAACCATGAGTTGTACCAACTATTCTCTGACATCGGCATTGTTAGACGTATTGAGCTTCAGCGACTACGTGGGCTAGGTCATGTTGTGAGAGTGGATGAAGATGCCCCAGCCCAAAAGGCATATAAAAACGAACCAGCTGATGGTTTACGCAGAAGGGAAGGCCACGAATAAGATGGAAAGATCAAGTGGAAGCCAACATTGCCGAATATGGTCTTTCTAATTGGAAAAACTGCGCAAAATTCCGTCGGCTAAGTAAGTAAGTTAGCATATGTTGGTAACAGGCAAAATGAAACTAGATAGACACATGGTTCCTTTTGAGAATATGTATAGAATCACTTTCTGAGTCGATTTACGCATTTCCGTCCGTCCGTCCTTTTTTTTGTCCATGTATTTTTGTGATCAAAGTACAGGTCGCATTTATTATCCGATTTGGATGAAATTTGGAACAGCTCACTTATTTGGACCAAGGACGAACCCTATTGAAATTGAGACAAATCGGTTCAGATTAAGATATAGCTACCGTATATAGTTTCGTCCGATTTAAGATAAATGGGGCGCAAAAGTCCTTATATATCTCTCGATTTGGACGAAATTTGGCACAGAGTACTGAACTAGGCCCAGAATGATCTGTGCAAAGTTTCATGAAAATCGGTTCAGGTTTAGATATAGCTCCTATATACAGTTTTGTCCGATTTTATATAAATTGTGCACCAAAGTCCGTATATATCACTCGATATGCACGAAATTTGGTACAGGATACTGAATTGAGTCAAGAACGATATGTGCCAAGTTTCGAGAAAATCGGATCAGATTTATATATAGCTCCAATATATATTTTCGCCCGATTTAAGGTAAACGGGGCACCAAAGTCCCAATATATCTTTCGATTTACAGGAAATTTGGCATAGCGTACTGAACTATGTGCAGAATGATGTGTGCTAAGTTTCAAATCGGCAAATCGGTTCAGATTTAGATATAGCTCCCATATATAGTTTTCTCCGATTTTATGTAAATGGTGCACCAAAGT